GAAAAGATCGACGAATGGTGACAGAATAACCAGCCCTGCCATCAAAGGTGGATTGAGATTTTTGAACATTTTACAGCAAAAGAAATTGTTTTCAAAAACATTTGTAAAATCGTAGAATTTTCTTTGTCTCCCTGGATCTAATGCCCCCGTTGAACGAATACTTTCATTGGTGAATAATAGGTGGACGAATGAAAAAACTGATTTAAAAGTAAACACATTAGAAGCATGTATTTCCATCAAATACAACTTTCAAATGAACTGTATGGAATTTTATGACTTTAAAGCGTGAAACGGCACTATAATAAAAAAATAATTCTACTGAAAAGTATCAAAATTAATGTTATTTAAATTTTTTACAATGTGTGTATGTGTAATAATTCAGATTGTTTAAAATTTTAATGTATGCATTGTTGTATGCTACTATTTTCGTAATAAATGAGGTATTTTTTGATTTTCTTCAATATGTCCTTTATTTTCTCCCCAAAAATATGGTCACTGTAATCTATACAAGAAGGCAGGGTAGGGCACTAAGTTATTTTTTAAAAAAAGTTTGTTAAATTATTATATGTATTATTCCGTTTAATGTAACCCATATCTATCTCTTTTTCTGTTAAGTCTAAGAACTGAAGAGGGGTCATTAAGACCCAAAATGCATTTCCTTTAATAAAAAATACATAAATCAACTGTTCCTTGTGTGATGTGTTACTGAAGAAAGAAAGCCACTAGCTTTTAATTCTTTAAAGTCTATAAATAACTTTTTATTTTAAGAAAATATTAACAATAACAACATAATATAGATAGCTAGAACATTGCACAACTTTGTCATATTGCGATAAAACTGAAGCAAACTGGAAAGAAAGAAGAGGTTCCTGCACCTGTCAGGCATAGAAGAGGCAATCCTTTTACCTGCCAACCATGGGAGAGATGATCCTTGCACTGGCCAACATGAAAAATGATCCAAAAACAAAGCAATTGCCATCAATTACTTTGTTCTTATGTTTTGTTCATTTCATTTTTCTCACCTACTTTCCACTCAAGCAATGCTTTTTTGTTTTTTTTTTTTTTTTACTCCTAGACTTAAATTCCATTAGGTGTGCTCAGTTGCATAAGAAAGCACAGACATTATCACTTTTACTCCACTGTATATTGAAAAAGTCAAGACCATTATTTTTTACATTTAAATAGATCCTCATTACATTTTTGTATTTCTCATTGCAACTAATGAAAAATGGCAATCCAAATCGATCATATAGATTTAGAGAACAAACACAATTCTGTAAGCCACATAGAAGAAGCTTCGCTAATACTCAACCTCAAAAATTTTTGTGAGAAACTTAATACAATATTTTTATAATTTTTTCAAATTTGTAGTAATGTAACAAAAGTTTCCTTCTTAACATTTTTGAATGATCAACAGTCTTGTAGATTGTAAAGTGTGCAGGTGGGATAAAAAGCCAACAGTACTTTCAGTAATTTAACCTAAAAAAGCCCATTGCAGAATCCATAAAAATTACTCAGAAGTCTGATCTCTTTAAAAGAAACAACAGATATGAAAGGTAGTAGCTAAAAAAAAAAAAACTCAGATGATACAAGTCTGCCTAATCAGAGATTTGTACATTCACAAATGATATGCAGAGAACTCCCCTCAGCAGTCACAAAAGTGGTAAAAGACTGAGAAAGAGTTTCAGTCAGCATGTTTAAGCAAGTGAACAAAGTGAGTCTGTCATACCATATATAATTCATGCTAAAAACAATAAGATCCCACATTTTGCACAGAAGACAAGCTAGGCAAAAAATACCTTAATATGCTTTACACCAAGAGTTCCCCTATTGTGTTAAATGACTAGAAGTAGTTCAGTCTTTAACAGCTCTAGAAAAATCATTAAAAAATAAAAGCTGGATTGGGCCCAATAAAAGGTAAGAAGTATCCTGGTTAGTCAGTAAATCAGCATTTACACTTCTGCAATTCTCTCATGCTCTGGCAACCACAAGAAAAAAACTCTACTGCAAGAAGCCAGTTCAGAGAGACAAATGTTGAAATAAACTGATCAAGTAGAAGAATCAAATAGCTTCAAAAAAAGAGTGACTGTCAGAAACAATGTAGATTTTACTAAAAAGGAATCTATTTAAAACAATGCAAATGCTTCAAGTAATAACTAGCACTTCTGCTTAAAGCACAGTAAGGAACCTTCCTAGTTAGACACAAAAATCTCTAACTTGAGACAAGGGATATTTAGATGAAGATTTTAAAAACATACTGTTTTCAAAATCTTTATCTAAACATCCCTTACAAATTCAAGCATCAGTAGCCACTATTAATTTCAGATCTATCTATAAACCAGGCTAGGTCCTGTGGACTGAAGGTGTAAGATGGCCGACCCGGTGGAGATAGGGGACTTGAAACCCACTCCACGTGTAAGTTAGAACTGGTGTAGATTGGGCATAAAATCCCACTTCTGACGCCAGTGTAAGGTTGCCGTCTCCTAGGTAGGATCTATTAATCCCGCGTCAGGATGAACCTAAGGGAAGGTTGTATGTGGGCTGTGACGGAGGAGGCAAATGATGACAAGTGTTTTACACAAGAAAGCCGTTTATTTGTTAACATTTATGCTTACATCGACAATCCTTCACTAGTTCTTCTCGTCGGAGATGCAGATAGGAGAGAAGTTCTACATCTGACTGGCCCTGGGGCGGATGAGATGCTGTTGCTGATCAAGGTGGACGATCGAAAATTGGAAGCGGAGGAGTCCAAAGTTCTTGGTGACACACCACAATATCAGTCACGACCTTTCATGAAGTCGGAGGAGAGCTCTCCTGACCTTGATTTTCCGATTTTTATAGTTTTTTTTCTCCCACTATTCGGACTTCTGATTGGCCCCTTGTCCCCTTCCTCACTTCCTGATTGGTCTCTCTTTTGTTCGGGGGAAAACTGAGACCGACTCGGGTCACGGGAAAGGTCCAATTCCAGGTGTCTGCTCGACACCTTTCTGTTGATTGTTCTTGGGGATTATTGACAAAATTGCAAGATTTGTGCTCATAATTTAGCTCCGTTACTCGCGATTTCTGTCATCTGGGTACTCGAACGATCATATACAATGATTTATCTCTCTTAAATCTTTCCCTCTTTTCCAAAATTGTTTCCCTAGATTGACTGTTTATGAGCACTGGGGTCAAAGTTCTACCTGCATATGACCACTTGTCTCTGACTTATAACTTTTCATTCTGACATTGACAGTTCGTTTAGCACGTGTTGGAGTCATCCGAGACTCGTTGTCTACGTTTTGTGCTGCGTTGTTTAAATTATGGGATTTTCCTCTCCTCTCATATTTAATCTATCGTTATTATTTAACCATAAGAATACTGCGATTTACATGATTTCGGACCTCAGTTGGGTCCTCACAAAGGTCTTCCTACTCAGATATCAATAAAACCAATTAGGAAAGAAAACCAAATAATGCTTATCATAAATAAACTGAGGTACTGTACATTCTATCAGAAATCATCAAAAAGATGTCTCAGCAGAGATAGATGACCAATGAAACATGTTCCAATTATATACTTGAGCTATAGAGGTCCCAATTTCTGTCTGAATAAAAATCTATAGTAGAGTCCTGTACAACACACAAATAAAGCAAGCAACATCCTTGAATTATGTTGATCAGAGGTATACTTTTTTTTTTTCAACTTATAGGCCAAGGTTTAAACTTTCATAAATTGTGTGATTATACAGGTTTCAATAACACGATTTCCTATAATGCGTAATGAATCCCATGCGTTGTATGGAACTCTACTGTATTTGTTTTGCATTAAATTTGAATTTAATGCTTAGAATGCCAAAAGTATTAATTCAATATAAAAAGTTTTGAAGTTTTATCTAGAAAGTTAACTTTTTAAGGGTCTTTGGAAAAATCAAAATAATTTTCTAAAATAAAAATAAATTCCAAAATTATAGTAGAAATTTTAATATTTTTCTATATTATAGCCTATTACTCTTCTACATTTTATTTTAAAATTATAGAAATTTATATTTAAATAATAAGTATTTGCAAACAAACCTTTCTTTATGCTGTAGAGGTTTATTATCTATGCAAGACAATAAATTTGGAATTAATGAAATTTGTCTGTCAATTTCCATTCTAGGGTAACCCAATTTTAAATAAATTATGGTAAAATTTATTGAAAAAGTAGTTGCTGCAGGATCTCCATATTGCAGTAGAAGAGCTTCCATTGGAAGTTGAACTTGTGGCCTTGATTTCAAACGCTTATTAATATGAACAAGTAATTCCATAACCTTTAATAAAAAATTTTAAATTAATCTATTTCATTTTTGAAGAAAGGAAATAAAAAATGTAATCTTAAATATTTATTAAATTCAATACAAACAAATGCAGTAACTTAAATATAAATAAAGTGAAATTTATTGAAAAGTCAAGAATTTACATTATAAAATGCAGGGCTGTGGAGTCGGAGTCGGAACCGTGGAGTTTTGATGTTTTACCCGGAGTCGGAGTCGTCAAAAAATCCACCTACTCCAACTCCTTTTTACTTACCAACTTGTTATGTATATAAAATGGAAAAGTATTGGAATCGTGTCAAATTTGTCCCTCCAAGTTTTTTTTTTTTTGCAAATCTACACATTTGGAGACCTCCCGAACCCCCTCAAAAAAGTCAATAAAGGGGAAAAATTTGCGCGCGCGTGTGTGTTGGCGTCTAATTTG